TCTGTTTCTTGATATTTTTCTATTTGAAAATATCCTCTCGTAAAAAAATATCCATCCGGGGGGTGGCCATTTTTCCGATCCGGCCCTGTGGCGCGCGAAGAGAGCCCGTAACGCAACGCACCAACATCGAGGACGCGTATAATAAAGCTCCGGGTACAACGACCGGCACCGCGGCGAGATGGCAACCAGGGCTATATTAATAATTACAACAATTAATTACCGAAGATTAAAACTACTTAGTTGTAATTACTCGGATTATGCGCGCGTTTTTACAGGCCGCCAGTTTGCGAAACTGCATTATTAAGGGACCGTAGTGTGCTTGTGGCGCATTAACTGCGCCGTAATTCGTGTAATTCCGGCGAAATTGCGATATTACCCCGGCAAAAACGGCGCGCGGAATAGAAACCAGCACGGTTTAAAACGTAGAATGGCACTCGCGAGTTCTTTTGAGGCATTCAAGGGACCCCTCACAAAAGGGCCCCGAGTACACTACCGCTGAGATTTGCACAAATGGGAGAATTGTTAAATTAGATATTATTTGAGGCGCATTTTTCTAGATGTCAAAGTTTTCGCCTGCTAATGTTTTTAATATGTGTTCTAAGTTGAAAATACAGACACATACGTTAAAAAATTGAGGTGTTAGGTAGATATGAGTGAGATGTAGACGAAGCCGTATCATTTAAAACTTGGTATAGTTGTCCCGGAGTCAGTTGAACATGTATAAAAACGCTTAGCAATAAAATTTAATAAGTTTCATAGGCGTCCCTAAAAAAGTTTTCTGCTAAAGATAAAAAATTATAATAATTTGTATATAATGTGTAGAAAATTTCTATTATATGTTCATTTGACCAACAACATATTTTTAATTATTAATGTCCTTAAACAGTTTTATTATATTGATGGTAAATTTCGTTTTATTCCGTTTCAACAGGTCTTTAAAATGCCATGTTGTAATAATATTAGTAAACAAAATATCCCTCTTATTTCTATTTCGCAATTGTAATATGAATGATTAATAGAAGGTACCTAAATCAGATCAAATTCTGCATTGCTGCACTGCACTGCTAGGCCATTTGTTGACAACTGAATTTATGTCCAGATCGCCCAGTGCGACTGTGTTTGTGCCACGTTTGCCCGCGCGCTCATTCTTCATCTGGGCGACCAGACCTGTAGATACATGGGTATGGCTAAATAAATATGGGAACAAGTTTTTGAAATATTTCAATGCCGAGCGTCAGCGACCGAACCTGCTATATACAAGATGTCCCAATCTTTACAGCTCTAGTTTATTAAGGCATTTCAGCCTAAAATGATCAAAGGAACACGCTCCTGAAGTTATAACATGGACTTAAAAACACCCTGTATATTTTCCTGTATTAAAGAACTATTATATTTTAGTCTTTAATATGTTTTGTCGAATCCAATGTTCATTAATTTTTCTCGCCTTTTAACGGGCCTATGGAGGCGTTTAACTGACGTTGTTTTAATTGGCCTTTTGGGCCGGTCCGGCGCTGTCAGTGCACTTGTAGGATCACGGCTGGCTGGCTGACGCATAATAAACATTTCAAGAAAGCCTGTACGCTAATACGGCGCACAGTCATCCGATCGGTTTGATCCGAACATCAAACGCTAATGTCGAGAGTTCAAAGATATTTTTTCCACAAAGAAAACAGATCGTTTATTTCCGAAGCGGGCCAACAGATGTTCCGAACAATGCGAGCCTACACGTTGACAACGTCGAGTCGTCGCCGCAATGTCGCACGGTGACGACTGTATTTGGAAAATTAAATACCAAAAACCCTACAGCGAAGGTCCATTAGGCAAAGGCGTAAGAACAAGTATGTTTTCAGAATAATCCGAAAATGTATCCAGGTGCGGCTCGATCGACAAATATATCGGTAACGGTTTGTCGAAGTTATAAGTTCTGTTCCCGATCAGTTCGCGAGCGGTTCCACGTAACATCTACAATTTTTTTTTTGCTTGCGAATAGTTCACGAACATCCAACGATCTGATTGCAAAATGTTTATTTTAAGTTCACGAGCAACTCGCGTAACATTATGTTGTTTATTTTTGTTCATGTTACTACCAAAATTCCCGTCGACTATCTGCATCCTCAAAAGATATGTTCGCCGAACCTCAATCTGGTGTAAGTCTGCATCGATTTTATTTCAATGAAAAATTGGAAAGTTCTTTGAAATTTTAAATTAACCAGCAATTAGCAAGACAATTGGGTTGTTCATAGTCGGTAGTTAACATTCGACGACAAAAGTTTCTAAACCCACTTGCAGACTCTAGCTTGCTTTGCCAGTTTTGTGGATGACATTCGACGACAAAAGTTTCTAAACCCACTTGCATACTTTAGCTTGCTTTGCCAGTTTTGTGGATGACGTAGCTGACATTTAGATTACTTGAATGGCATATTTATTCACCTATAAACGTAGAACAATGATCGAATTATTTTACGAAGAACACTGAATGCAATTCAACCTGGAACGTTAGCGTGTAACTGCTCGCGAACTGTTCGCGAGCTAATTCCGAACAGGTCGTTCAGCAGCTGGCGAACAACTATAAAGATGTTAAATGTTACATGAGAAATGTTTTCTTTTCCTACATAGTGTCCCAGTCACTAAAAGTTCATTTAAAACTACGTCCTCTAAAAAGTACTTATCTCAGTTCTTCAGTATAAAGTTGCATTCCGGTTCGGAACGAGCTCTCGGCTTGAACTGAGCAGTCTGTCTGGGAGGACGACGTTATTGGCAGTACTAAGGACTAACGACACTCTCTCGACTGCCTCAAAGCCGACTGGCGCTTTGGAGCGACAGGGGCGGCGGCAATCTCAAAGGGTTTTTAATCTTGTCAGTTGACACTTCTACTGTACTCACCTGAGTTTTACTAAAACTCCCTGGAAGGAAATTGCAAGTATTTTAGCTGAGAGGCGATTAATGCTGCATTTACATGGTATCTCTGACACGTTGACCTAAAAACTGATGTGGGATACTGCAAATATTCAATAAAAAATCAATATTTTATCTCGAATTATACAGGGTGATTCAGTTATAATGTAATTAATTTTAAGGGAAAAGTGAGAAGAATACGAAAACGCAATTTAAAAAAATTTTAAATGTACATTTATACTGAAAAAAATATTTTTACATCATTATTTAAACCCCTTTTTGAACCGCTCCTGACCGCTGACCCACCAAGGTTCTTCGAGAGTGAATATTAAACTACCTTATTAATTGGTCATTAACCTAGCTTTTATTGCATTTTTAATCCATAGTCCTTCTTTTTACTTAGACATATGAATGAATAAGACATTTTTTTACATAACGATAATAATTGTTTTCGGATATTAGGTTGTTGCAATTTAGTATTTTTAAAACTGTTAACGTTTTCACTATGTTTTATAATTGGATTTAAATGGTCGAGTAATTTTTTTTTCGATTTTCTACCTTTGTTTCTTTATTTATTAGATAAGACAACATCCTATATTTTACCAGAAGAATTAGGATGTAAACATTATTAATTTTTTTAAAAATTAATTGTGCACCTACACATTTCGATGTAGTTCTTTCTCATTTAAACAAATGTTCACGGGTTATAAATATTTCGAATAAATAATCCAAAAAATACATTAATTTTATAAAAACACTTGAATTTTTTGATGTTCGGCGCATCGTCCACAGTGACATAAAAAATATGGTGACTTTAAAATAACACGTCCCAAAGTCCCATTGCAGTTTCGCTCTCTGCCGCTGAGTTATTTAATTAACAACTAAACAAGAGGTTATATTTTCATAAAAACCTCTTTTATGTTTAACAACTCATTTTAAATGTAGCAACGCTAGCTTCGGGCGTACAAAAATCGAGCCGCCTGGTCGTAGCGCCGACGGATTAATGGACGACAGGTAGATAAGAGCGCATAGCCCGGGAGCGGTATCACGGTGGCATGAATAAACAAAAGGCCGAGGCAGGAAACGGACGGGCGGACTCGCGGCTGCGGCACCGTCTAAATAAATCGCCGGAATGTTTATTCATAAATGCGGCAGTTCCATATTTAACCTCCCCCGGATCCGCTTTTTATTCCCGTTGCAATTACGACACGTACAGGACCTCGTCCGGACGTGATTTTAACCGTAGTTTGTTAACTACGACAAAGATAGCAGTACTCTAGAAGAAACATTGTTTTCAAAATACTCAAATATTGCGAAAATAAGCCAGACCTGGCAATGCAGCAGCGGACTTGCCTACCTTTCTAGTCTATTATTAATTGTAATAAGCAAAAGTTTTGTGATTTCCGTTAAACGACTTTTTTTAATTGAAAAGAAGTTTTGCCAGTTTTTCATGCAATACATACTTACTTTATTGGACTTTCGACATCACCATTCTTATGATTAGTTACTACCACGTAAATGATTTTCTGATTAAATATTCCCCGCTACAATTAACCGCGGTAAGTAATTCGTTTTTTATGGTGAATTAGCGGAGGAAATAGGGAAACTATAGTTTCAGTACTGATTATTTTCTTATAACAGTAGCGAAGATGAAGCAGGATAGATCGCGTGATCGAGAATTTTATTACAGTTTCCGAAATATGAAGAAAAAGCGTCGACATCAAAATCATTGATTAACTACACTATTAGAAAAAATTAAAGGAACAAAATATTTCATAAATTTTTTAGTGATTTTTGAATGGTATCTCAGTAAAAAATTGTCGATCGAGATAAAAAAAAAAACGTTTTGAAGCTCTAATTTCAAGATCTTTTAACAAATATTTAACCCCTTTGTGGGTTTGGAGTTTACCCAACATTATGGGTTTTATGAACTCCTTGTTTTTTTCTTTTTAGCGCATTTTAATAAAAGCTTGTTTTTAAAATATTTTTTTTTTACTTTTCATTTATTGTCATTCAGTTTTTGATGATATCGATCCAATTTTTAAGCACACCGTTATTTTTTTTATGAATCCTGCATTCTGACCGGATTTTTGTTTGCAGGCCGGAAAGATGGGACTTGGACCGACGGGTCACATGCCTTTCTTCTGCCACAACGGAGACCCCCTGTCGCAGCCGCCCCCAGCACACATGGGCATCCCACCGTACCAGCTGGACAGCAAGGGCGCGGGCGCCATGGGTGAGTACGGGGGCTCACCCCAGCCGCAGCCCCTCAGCCCCGCCGAATGGAGACGTCTCGGGCCGCTGCTCGCCGCCACAGGTACCAGTCCCGACGCCGCCGCCGCCGCCCCCAAAGGTCGCGCGGCCGGCGCTTTCAGTAGTGGTGGAGGGCAGTAGCCTGTAGTTATTTTTTTCTGTGCTTCTAGAGATTTATTCTTAAAAAAAATGCCGAAACGCGTTTTTCTAACCAAAGCGACATCATCGGGGTTATTAAGACATGGGCGGGCCAAGTTCGACGCTTTGGGGGGGGGGGGGGTTTATTCTATTTCTATTTTATTTATTTTAGGTATTTTAAAATTTTGTCCACACATTTGAGCGCGTCTTGCCCAGTTTTTACGAATTAACACAAATGTTGTCTTGCTTCACCATAAATTAAAACGATATCCATCAACTGTGAGTTGCTATTCACGTAAGTCATTTTTGACACTTGAAAAAGTAATGTAAACACTATCGGAAAAACGTTGATACTAACATCGGATTTCAGTATTTGGAATCTCCTGAGGTTACATGGAGAGAGAGAGAGCGCATTGTGTACAGCACACAACGCGAATGACGCTGGAGACACAGCAGCCCAACGATGTAAGGGTTGTAAACTTAAATAATTTTTTTCTCGGAAACTATAAGGATTTTACAAAAATTGTCTTTACGATATTGATTCCATTTTTCATGACGCATCCATATTGTGAATCATCCCGTATATAATTAATAATAAGGCAGTTATTGCTTAAACTGTTTTAGACAAAAAAGACTTAATTAACCAAGGATCTAGAGCAGTAATATTGACGGGATGGTCTTTTAGCTGTTTCTTGAATGAATTTCGAAGCATGGGTAAAATACGACAATGTTCATTCACTATTTCCGTCACACTAGGAGCTTCATGGCCGACTATATATCATAGAAAATCGCAGGGCTCCCTCGTGCCCGGTCCATTACCAGATTGCAGCGTTAAATATCCCAGTTATTGTGCCCTCTAATATCCTCTGCCCAAATCAACAAGTCCCCATTGAGAGGCAGCGCTCCGCGCCCTACCCCATTGTGCGTTTCCCCCCATCGACCGAATTTGTATACAACCCCTCGGAACCGATACCGATCTGCGAGCACGCCGCGTTCTACCCTATTGTGAGCGACGCAAATCGACGTCCATCGCATACTCCTTAAAATCAACTTTAAAAGATCCGAGTCATCAGTTTTATTCGATCCGATCTTTTTCAATCGGAATAGGGAAATGCAAGGGTACGAGGAAGACTCTGATCAGAAGTCGTCGAACTATATATGTAGTATGCCCTCAGTTAGGGGATAAGGAAAGATTGGTTTTATTTTTCATTGCTTATAAATTTTGTTTGTGAAATTGTCGATGGCTTGCACTAGACTTGCTCACTATAAATTTGGCGGAGTCATTAGGCGGGATTGAACGTCAACTCCGATCAAGTGCAGTTCATTAACCAGAGCAATGTTCCTGGTTAATACGCAAAGTACACTCTCCGGGTTCTTCATCATCACTTTGTGTGTCCTTTCACTGTCTTTATTTTTGGTCTAAAGAGCACCTTTTTTCCGACACAAGACTATTATAAATCATGGGCAATTTGGACGTTAGGTTTGCGATCTAGACTTGAGCCTGAGTTAGCATCAATTAATAACAATTTTGTACTGAATATTTAAAAGTTTATTTGGTATAATTGATATATCAAGATATGGTTTTGTTACAGTTAGTAAAACATGTACAATGATGTAACGAAATTAATCAACCAAAGTCGACGTTCGATCGCGCCTTTACATTATGCTTAAATGCTACAATAAAGTCAACAGTTCTCAACAAGTTTTCTCTTAAAAAAAATAAATTATACAGCTTCACGAGAATAATGAACTCCGGTGCTGGATCTGGTAATATTGTCACTGAATACTTTAGAGACTAAGACAGCCTGTACGTACGTTTAAGATTTACCCTGTATCGCCGGTAACAGGCGAGGCACCATCCTAACGTTTAGAAACCGTCCCGTATCGCATCGCGGACACTTTCCCGTCATGTGAGCCGCGCTCGACTAATTGAAATTGCTGATTGGGTACATATTCGCATCGCAGCCCGTACAAGTCCTCGAAAAAGTAGGTATGCCGTCCTTTATGGCGCTGTCGGCAATAAAAACCCATCGATCGGTCGACGAGCAGCCCGTTTCAGAAATATATGTGCGGTCGCTTACGGTATAATGAACAATTAAATTACCGATGCACTACTACCCAATTACAGTTTCCTGTGCAGCGGCAGCACCGCGCAGGGCCGCGAGGGGGCAGCGGGGACTCCCCGGCTGGAACACACGCACCCAATTACCCGCTAATTGATGTTCTGCAAGAAGTGGATGCCGCGGATACGGCGTACGGAGCGTCTTTTGATCGCGATGTGGCGGCGGGGCGGAACCGCTAACGACGTGGAAGACGGTAATGCACGAGAATAGAAACCTGTCCCCGGGGAAGGGCAAAAACGCCGGCGAGCGAACTAGTCGTGTCCAAATGTAAGTAATGGGCTTAATTGCAATTGCAGTCCGCCACAACTATCGCGCGAAAACAGAAGTGGATCCGGTGCTTGGTGCTCCTTGTGGGGTTCGCGAGAAGAGACCCGTCGGAGTTCAGGCAACTCCTTAACCAGTAGCTCGACGGTTAACGAAAATAATTGCATAAATTATTGTTTTGTTATGTTCTCGTCCTGTTACATTTTGGTCCTTCGAACCGGATGCTACGGCATACGCAGTGCAATTTATTAATTAATTTTTCAAGTAATATGAAAAAACTAATTCAGCAAAATAATTAAGGAGCCGAAAAATTTTCAAAATTTTTTGGTGATTTTTGAAAGGTAACTCCGTGAATAATGGTCGTATCATGATAAAATAAGAAACATCTTGAAGCTTGAAGATTCTAGTTTTGAAATTAATGCCAGTCTTTTAGCCTGATTCTTCAGCTTCAATTTGTTTTTTTATTTTCTGTGCAATTATTTCCTTTTTCTTTTGATCATCGATATCTCATGAATTAATGATCGTACAGCGAATGGAAGGTGGGCTTTGGAAGCTTGAACCAATCCTCTTCAAGAGCCTTTTTGGTATGTTTAAGAATTTTTCGGTATTAATTTAAAAAAGTGCAAAAAAATTACTTTTTCTGTTGTTTTGGAAAATCGACGACTACTTTGCGAATATTGTGAAAAGTACCAATGTTTGCTGTTTTTTTTTTAACTTAAATTAATGCAATTATATAAAAGAAAAATCGTGTCAACATTTTAGGACGCGTAAGATGAACCATTTCAAATTTAAAATAAAATTGAATGTAAAATCTGAAATACCGGGGATCATACGGATTGTGTTCTGGTAGTAGCTGTAGTCGCCCAGGTGCATCGAGTGTACGAAGTGGTCGGATATACGTCAAATACTAACCTGACGAGCTTGATTGTAAATCAGAAACAAGTAAACAACAGTGGCGCGTACAGAGGTAAAATATGGTACATATGTGGAATTTAAAAAATAAATTAGATTACATTTAAAATAAATAGTTTATGAGAATAAAGGATTTTTTTGTAGGAACAGGGGTGCCAGACGAGAACTGATCCCTTCATCCCTTCATAATGCATACATTATTCAATTTCTAAACCCCTTAAAACCGTACTGCACTGGACAGGCAATGATTTATTACTTTGCATCGAATATGATCCTACTATAGATGAAATACGGCATGCGAAGAAAAAAATCGCATCAAAATTGAACAGAAAATGATTCAGTTCAATTTTTTGAATATTTTAAAATGCAAAAAAAAAATTCAAAATTTCAATTTTTTTTTAAATTTCAACATTTTGAAAAATTAGATTTTTTTCAAAATTGAATTTTTTATTTAAAATTTTGATTTTTTTTCGATATTTGATGTGTATAACGCGAAATTGTGAGAAATATAAAGCAAAAATAAGTTTTTGATCTTAGTCATTAATTGATATTTAAGGAGCAATAAACCTGCTCCTTTAATTTTTATAAAACTGACGATTCTGAAAAGGAAAATAGTTCAACCGATCGATTTCAAAATGTACAGGCCTCATGAGCATCTATTGAGCTAAAAAAAACCTATAAACGTTGGTACTTTTTGCAATATTTGCAAAGCAGTCGTCGATTTTCCAAAACAGCAGAAAAAGTATTTTTTTTCACTTATTAAATTAATATCGAATATAAAAAAAATTCTTAAACTATAGAAAAGTCCTTGAAGAGGAGTGATTCAAGTTTTGAAAACCCACCTTCCGTTGGCTGTACGATCATGAGATATCGATGTTAAAAAAAAACTGACTTTTCACTCAAAATTTTCTAAGGCTATGAGCAGTATTAAAAAAAAATTATTTTGCCTTTTGATTGCGAGTGATGCTCAAAAATTTTTTCTTCTAAAGATTTTCAAAAATTACTAAAAATATTTGGAAATTTTCCTGATCCCCTAATTTTTTTGTTGTGTGTATCAATCTTGTTTTAAAAATTTAGTAGATCCAAAATTTATAAAAAAAAGGTCAGTTTAAAAAATATGCGAAACGAATGAATTATATCATCAATACTTGATCCTCAGATCAAAGGAGAGACTTACTAGGTCCCATATTTGCTTTCCACCCCGCGGAAACCTCCGACCATATTGAAAATGTCGCCGCTTAATAAATTTATATTTATTGTGAATTTAATAAAGCGGCTATTAAGTCCGGGGCTACGGATATTAATCCGGGATTTTTGTGCTCGGCAAATCGCGCACATAATGGTGTATGAAATGAACAACGCGGCCCTCTAATAATTCCTTTAATCCGAAACTGATGACATCGTCTCGTCGACTGGGCGGGGCAAATTTTTCAATCGTGTCGCGATGTACCCTACTGGGAAAAGCGCAACTTTATTAGGACGTGATTTTACACGGTAAAGGTGAGCGCACAGTAGCAAAACCTCCGCGTCCTTTTCAACAAGTCTGCGCATACCTTAATTGTACCATAAAAACCCGACTGATTTTCATTTATCGTATCTTCGACATTGTAAAACCCGACAATCAAAT